CACAGCACCCTTTTAAAGTTGGCATCAGTGCAAAGGATAGCAGTTAATTCCAGGATATCCGGTGAGCGGAGAATTGTTTGGGAACAGTGCCCAGTAAGATGGGGGTGGAAATACGGTGTGACTCTCGCTGAGAGAGCTCAGACAACAATGAATGTGGACAGTTTGATGAGATTTGGTGAGAACTTGCTCAGCCTCGTTGTGTGAATCACTTCCCCAAACTAGATGTGACTTGCACTTCCCAAACAAAAAACTAAGGTTCAGCCTCATGTGTTTCCATTTGCAAGAATAAAGGACCTAGTCCCCATGGAGTGTTTTTCTTGGATTCAGTGTGGGAATCACACGTTAGCTAATGAGTTAACTTCAGTAAAACTGTCTCAGACCAATCATTTGTCACTCTAGTCAGAAAAGATTGCAATGTTGCATTTTGTTAGTATTTCATGGAATTGGATTTTCTGGTCATAAATCACTGCTTGTTGGAAAGTGCACATGTCAGGGTCCGGCACAAGGCAGGAGCAGGCCTGGTTAATAGTTTGAACCTTTCCTCACTTTAAAAGGCCTGGCAGCAGTTTTGGGTCTGGCACATAAAAACCCGTTTGACTACACAAGAAACTGCGCTGCTCCCCCGCCCCATCCCCCATCGTGAGAGGAACAGTTACTATTTTCTGAGAATGTTAATATGTCTGGTGGAATCTTGGCACTCCCTCTCTCACATCATTGTGGGTCTACCTACACAATATCGTTCAGGAAGGCAGCTCATCACCTTCTCAATGTCCATTAAGAAGCATAAATGCTGGCCCACGCAACACTGCCCACATCCCACAAGTAAATTTATTAGAAAATGCAGAAACAAGCCCCAAACTAACGACTAAATTGCCATCCAGGGGAGACGATGGCCTAGTGGTATTATTGCTGGACTGTTAATCCAGAGACCCAGATCATGTTCTGGGGACCCAGGTTCAAATCCCGCCATGGCAGATGGTGGAATTTGAATTCAATAAATATATGGAATTAAGCATTTAATGATGACCTTGTGTCAATTGTTGGAAAAACCCATCTGGTTCACTAATCCCCTTTAGGGAAGGAAACTGCCATCCTTACCTGGCCTGGCCTGGCCTGGCCTATATGTGACTCCCAGACCCACAGGAATGTGGTTGACTCTTTACTGCTCTCTGGGCAATTAGGGATGGGCAATAAATGCTGCCTAGACCGTGATGCCCCTCATCCCGTGAATGATAAAAAAAATTGTCATAATCACCACAAATTCCTTTGCCATACGCTCCCTCTGATAGAGATTAATAAGGCTTGTCCAATTCAAAGAATCCCTACACAGTGTGGAAACAGGCCCTTTGGCCCAACACATCCACACCGACCCTCGGAGCATCCCACCCAGACCCATCCCCCTATAACCCACCTAATCGACACATCCTTGAACATTACCAGGTAATTTCCCATGGCCAATTCACCCAGCCTGCTCACCTTTGGACTGTGGGAGGAAACCCACACAGACACGAGGAGAATGTGCAAACTCCACACAGACAGTCACCCGAGGCTGGAATCGAACCCGGGTCCCTGCTGCTGTGAGGCAGCACTGTGCCGCGCCAAATTGCAGACAATCTCTGTGCTCCCCATTCCTGTGTCTTACTTGAGGGAAAAAAATTAAATCACCCTTTTCAGACATGGTACAACACATCCCTGGAGCAGGTGGGACTTGAACCTGAACCTCCTGGCCTAGAGGTAGGTGCACTACCACTACGCTACGAGACCCTTTTTAATTTCCTTGTGAACAAACACTTTGTGTATCCAGTCAATATTTTGTAAACTGAACATTTTCTTGCTGAAGTACTGTTGCTGAATTATTCCTTTTGAGACGTAGAACTGCTCACCTCTTTCCCTCACCACCTCCTTCCACTTTTCAACCCCAGTTCTTTGAAAGCTGCTGACTCCGTCTGGGGGCAAGCAATGCTGTGGTGCAAGTGTCAGTGCTCGGCAGTGAATCTAGACAGGATGGCGCTGGGCTATTCAGCTGCTTGGGCATCACTATCCTGTCCATCCAAACTGCAGTTTAACTCAGTTGACAGTAGTGAGGTCTGGTTGATCTAACCAATGCATTGTGAAGTTGATTATTGCTCATTCGCTGAGAGTGGCTGGTCAAATCTAGTAGTGTGGCCCCCTTGCCATCCATGTAGTGCACAGAGGGCTTTACTAATCGTCATTAGCGATCCCCCTGTCTTCGATGATACCCAGTCATCACAGCCCTGTGGAGAGACCCAGAGAAGTGCATTTGCTCTTTCTGTCTCCTACGGAGCTTCCTGAGAGAGTCCCAAACCGGCAGGCTGGCTCCCCCTACTGGAGAGAGGGGGATACATCGCAAGGCCCGATCAGTTACTCGGGAAGGATATAGCCAGAAGTCACACGTTATAGTCCAAAAGGTTTATTAGAAATCACAAGCTTTCGGAGCGTAGCCCCTTTGTCATGTGTCGAGGGGGCTGTGATTCCAAATAAACCTGTTGGACTATAACCTGGTGTGGTGTGACTTCTGACTTTCTCCACCCCAGTCCAACACTGGCACCCCCACGTCAGGGGGAAGGATGTGACATTTCTAGCACGGGAATGGGTTCTGTGCTGAATTTGAGACAAACACTAGGGTGGAGCACTGAGACTACATGTGTACAGTCAGGGTGCTGCCTTTAAACTCGCCAGTTTGTTTCTGGTGCCATGAGTGCAAATCAGGTCATCAAGGCCAAAGAAATACGTATACATTTGGGAGGGTCTTGTGGTGCAGTGGGAGTGTTCCTATCTCTGGACCGGGAGGTTCAGGTTCAAGGCTCACCTGCTCCAGAGGTGTGTCATAACCCCCTGTCTAAACAGAATGGTTCTTGGGAGGAAAGGGGGTTTCTAACCCATTTTGCTGCCAAAAGAAATTACATCCAAATTCTCACTCCACGCGTCTACAACCTGACTGCCCAGAGTTGTTTTTATAAAACACCAAGTCAATTTAATCCAAACTGGGAGTCACAATATATGTTAACTTAAGGTAGCACACCAAAACACTTTTGGTTACAGTGGATACTGGAAAACTATAAATTGTTGGATTTGAATGATTCTGTAGTGACTGCCATGATTATTCCTTTGGATAGTCACCATGAGCTTTTACACTAATGTTGTGATGCTATGGGTACAACAGAAGAACAAATCCTCACATGGGTCTTAGCATTTTGCCACCTGCTCCATTAAACTTATGTCCTTGGCCTAATGTCACTGTTTGATATGCAGCATAGCTTACGATTCATTCATCTTACTGCCATTATGTATCTGTCACAGAATAATCGTACGGTACAGCGGGGCAGCATGGTGGCTCAGCGGTTAGGACTGCTGCCTCATAGCACCAGGGACCTGGATTCAATTCCACCCTTGGGTGACTGTCTGTGTGTGGTTTGCACATTCTCCCCGTGTCTGCGTGGCTTTCCTCTGGGTTCTCCAGTTTCCTCCCACAGTCCAAAGATGTGCAGGTTAGGTGGATTGGCCATGCTAAATTGCCCGTAGTGTTCAGGGATGTGTAGATTCGGTGGGTTATAGGGGGATGGGTCTAGATGGGATGCTCCAAGTGTCGGTGTGCACTTGTTGGGCCGAAGGGCCTGTTTCCACACTGTAGGGATTCTATGATCTATGAGTCCCGAAGAAGCACTTTAGCCCATTGAGTTTATAAGCTTCTTTACACTTCAGTCACCCAGTGTGGAAGAATTGTGATCACAGTATTAATGATTGGTTTTTAATTCTCAAAAACATGGTTTCTTGCAGCAAGTTCCTTTCAAGGCCCCGATCCCTGGAGGATTCTTTGTCTCAAGATCTATTGTCATTCAGGGGACTGTCGCACCGAACTGTGGCAGGTACGTGACCTCTGACACTGAGTTTACAAGCTGATTTAACCTCCATGTGGGAATGTTGAGAGTGATTCCTTGACCTGGATTTACCATGTTATCTTCTGCAAAACACTTCTTAGATCTTTGGGTGGGTAATTTAGCTGTGGATATTTTTTGGAGTGAATTCTGAACAGGATTGGGCCTACATGTCGGCAAAGTTTCAGTATCAGATAAGGACCTTCAACGTCAGAGACTCTCAAACTCCTCTCAGCCAGGGGAAGAGAAGATGCGTCGTTGAGTTGGCGTGATGCAAGACCAGATCCAGTTGTGAATTGTGAATCATTGATGCAGTCCAATCTCTTTGTTACATGGTACTTTGCAAAGGACCTGTTACTGCCTGCTCTTGAACCTTTTTTCTTTCTTCCTCTCTTCCAGTTTTTCCATTAACCTAAAGCCAAGCATTTCTCCTGACATTGCATTCCACATCAGTCCGCGATTCCGCACCGAAGAGGTCGTTGTGCGAAACAGCTACATGCAGAATTCCTGGTGCACGGAAGAGAGGAGTTTGGCTGAAAATCCATTTTCTCTTGGACAACCATTTGAGGTGTGTGCCTGAACCAGTTAGTGGTTGGGATACCAGGAGAGAGAACGCACTAAGTGCTCACAGCTCTCATCTGTCCCAGGTTTGGTGATCCATACAGCTTTTGGGTTGTCATTTTTAAACAATTCATTAATAACCTTTTAAGAAATATAACTTGCCATTGTCATCCATTTGGCCTATTTGTGACAGCTCATCCATAGCAAAATATTTGACTGCTAATTGTCCTCTGAAATGGCCAAGCCAGACACTCAGAGTCATACAGCATGGAAACAGACCCTTTGGTCCAACCAGTCCATGCCGACCGTAATCCCAAACTAAACTAGGCCCACCTGCCTGCTCCTGGCCCATATCCCTCCAAACCTTTCCTATTCATGTACTTATCCAAATGTCCTTTAACCATTGTATCTGTATCCACATCTACTATTTCCTCTGGAAGTTCATCCCACACATGAAATATTGTGTTTAAAAACAAAAAGTTGCCCCTTGTGTTTTTAATTCCTTTTCCTCTCACCTTACAAATATGCCCCCAGTCTTGAAATCCCACACCCTAGGGAAAAGACACCTGTCATTCACTTTATTTATACCCCTCATGATTTTATAAACCTCTGTAAGGTCACGCCTCAACCTCTTACACTCTAGTGAAAAAAGGTCCCAGCCCCTCCTTTATAACTGAAACCTCCATTCCCGGCAACATCCTGGTAAATCATTTCTGAACCCTCTCCAGCTTAAAATATAACAAGGCAACCAGAACTGGACACAATACTCCTGAAGAGTCCTGTACAGCCTCATCATGATGTCCCAACCCCTATACTGAAATGTCTAAGCAACAAAGGCAAGCTTGCTAAATGCTTTCTTAATCACCCTGTCTACATGTGGTGCAAATTTCAAAGAATGAGGTACCTGAACCCCTAGGTCTCTCTGTTCTACAGCACTACCCAATAGTACCTCAATAGCATCAAATCCCTATAAGGCATGTTCAATACATGAATCCATTGTCGATTGTTGGAAAAACCCATCTGGTTCACTAATGTCCTTCAGGGAAGGGATGTGTAGATTAGGGGGTTTATAGGGGAATGGTTCGGGTGGGATGCTCTGAGGGTCGGTGTGGACTTGTTGGGAAGAAGGGCCTGTTTCCACATTGTATGGATTCTATGATTCTATTCTATGACACTGCCATCCTTACCTGGTCTGGCCTACATGTGACTCCAGATCCCCAGCAATGTGGTTGACTCTCAACTGCCTTTGGACAATTAGGGATGGGCAATAAATGCTGCCTAGCCAGTGACGCCCTCATCCTGTGAATGAATTTAAAAAAAAGAACTACAGCAATTCAAGAAGGTGGCTCACCATTACCTTCTCAAAGGAAGGTAGGGGTGGACAACGACCTCTGTACCATCATAGTGTTTGCTATTCCCCTAGTGCCAATCTCTACCTTTTCCCCCATTTCTCATCAAATAATCATCCAATCCCCCTCTTGAATGTCTGGATTGAATGTGAATGAAGATTTCTGTTTAAAGGTTCTGTGGAGACTAGGAACTTTTACTTTGTCTGTCCTCTGGAGGTCGATTTTATAGTTTTCAGTGCTTTGATCTAGTTGAAATGCATGGGAAGCAGCAGCCCTCAGATGTGAGCTAGTCATGTTCCTGAAGAGGCCACATGGTCAAATGTAGGCTGTGCAATCTTGTTTGGTTGTTTAGATGTTTGTTGGAACTGGCTTTCAGAGGGTATTGGCAATGTTGTTCTGTTTAAATAATGACTGCACCCCCAGAATAGATGGTGAGACCTGGACTGCCAAGTAATTGGGGGGTAGGTTTAATTCCTGAGTGCTTGTTATCTTAATATTTATATTTTAAATTTATACCCGTTGTTTCACATTTGTCTGAAATTAATCAACGTTCTCACGCTAAGAATAATTTAAAACAAATGTATGCAAACAAATACTTTGTGAAAGATTTTGTTGATGGAGTCACTGACAAGAAACCATTTTCAATAGTGAGAAGATTGGTAATCAGAGGAGACAAATGTAAAGTTTTTGGTAAAGGAAGCAGAGATGATCTGAGGAAATAGGAGTGTTAGAAGCAGACTTGATTTGTAACTTTCAAAAGAGAAGTGGGTAAATAAATAACAAGGCTACAACAGAAGAGCAAATGGATAGTATTTATCAAGAGCCAACCCAAGGATGAACTGAAATGGTTTCCTACTGTGCTGTGTCTTTCTACAAAGTCCCAAAGTGTTGATAACCAGATGGCATGAACTTGGGTGTGTTAGGAAGTGCCAAAGTGTCACGATCCCTGGCATTATCGAAGAAAACCCAATGGAATTGGGAAGCTCCATCTCACCTGCACATGGTGCAATCAATAATACCATTCCATGCAATATCCTGGAAAGAGCAAGGACTAATTGGGAAAACTTTGGCAACTTCCTTCCTGCAACATATAAAGCTACCGAAGACAAATGAACCAACAATCTTCTCATCCCAGTTTATTTTCAAAAATGGGAATGTCAGCCACTCTTAGCATCTTCCCAATACATTTGGGTGGCACAGTGGCTCAGTGGTTAGCACTGCTGATTCGCAGTGCCAGGGGCCTGGATTCGATTCCACCCTTGGGCAAATGTCTGAGACCGGTGTCTGCATGGTGCTCCGGTTTCCTCCCACAGCCCACAGATGTGCAGGTTGGGTGGATTAGCTGTGCTAAATTGCCCATTGTGTTCATGATGTGCAGGCTGGGTGGACAACCCATGGGAAATGCAGGATAACAGGGATAGGGAAGGGAGGGTTGGGTCTGAGTGGGATGCTGATTGGTGGGTCACTGAGGACTTGATGGGCCGATTGGTCTGCGTCCACACTGTAGGGATTCTATGATTTGCTGCAGTTTCTATTTCTTCCTATTTCAAAAATTGCATCAATCAGTTCTTGCAGTTTGTTTTGGGTGCATAGTCTACTTTTAACATTTTATAAAAACTGCAAGAAGATGCATTTCTAGAAACACTGTCAGGGTGATAAAATATTCCTAGCTGGCCCTTGTGTGTTGCAACCCAGAGCTTGAAATAACCACACTCCCAGTGCTGACACAAACACATCCTCCAATTATTGCCGAATTTTAAACTAATATCTCACTTATCAGTAACAGAAAAAGAATATAAACTGAAACAATAAGGTTAAGGCTAGATTTCCCATCTTGAACATTAGCTATGACACTTTGCAAATTCCTCTAAGAGACCATGATTTGACCAGTGTGAAATGGAAACCACTTACCCCCAAGCTGAAATGTTAGAACTTGGGGGTAAGTCCTTTAACCCTAAGAATGTGAAAATGTTGACGTTATTATTCTTTGATGGGACATGGGCGTCACTGACCATCCCTGGTGGTCCTTGAGAAGGTGGTGGTGAGCTGCCTTCTTAAACCACTGCAGTCCATGTGCTGTAGTTACACCTACAGTGTTGTCAGGGAGGAAGTTCCAGGATTTTGACCCAGTGACACAGGGAAATACATTATATTGACATGACCGGATAGTGAAATGCTTGGAGAGGAACTTAGAGGTGGTGACGTTCCCATGTATCCGCTGCCCTTATCCTTTTAGGTGATAGTGATCGTGGGTTAGAATGTTCTGTCTGAGGATCTTCCAGTTTCTGCAGTGTGTCTTGTTGATGGTTCACGCTGCTGCTACTGAGCGTCAGTGGTGGTGGAGGGAGTGGATGTTTGTGGATGTGGTGCCAGTCAAGCGGGCTGCTTTGTCCTGGATGGTGTCAACCTTCTTGAGTGTTGTTGGAGCTGTACCCATCCAGGCAAGTGGGGAGTATTCCATCACACTCCTGACTTGTGCCTTGTAGATGGTGGACAGGCTTTCGGAAGTGAAGAAGTAAGTCACTTGCTGCAAGATTCCTAGCCCTGACCTGTTCTTTTTGCTACAGTACTTGTGTGGCTACTGCATTTGAGTTTCTGGTCACTGGTAACCTCCCAGGATGTTGATAGTGGGGGATTCAGTGATGGTAATGCCATTGAATGTCAAGGGATGATGGCTAGGTTCTTTTTACTGGAGAGGTAGTGATTGATCAGTGACCTAACTCCATAGATGTTTCTTAGTTCCATATCCTTTCAAACACTTAGCAAAAAAAAATCAATTAATCTCAATTTTAAAGCTAACAACTGACCTATCATGAGTTACCATTTGTGAAGGAGAGATCCAAATTATTATTGCTGTTTGCAGTCACATTTTCATGTCTAATTTCCTGAAACATCTGGGTCTAGTTCTTAGGCCGAGAACGTGTTTCCACACAGTGAAAGTAGTTTCCACCTGCCTTGTTGGCTCCTCCTAAATATTTGACTAATCCAAAATAATCAACTCTTGCCTTTCGAAATTCTAAGGAATATAGCTTTTCCTGTGTGACTCTGAGTCCAGTTATTACTATCCAGACAGAGAAATGTGATCTGCCTGCATTATTAATGTGTTATTAGAGTTTGGCACCACTTTGAACATTTGTTTAGGAAAACACTAGTTTGCTATGATTGCTTTATTTGTTGTGTGGTCTTCTTATTCTGTTCCAGCTCTGGGGTAAAAATGTAGGTGGGTACAGAAAGGACCTAATCTTTCTAGTTTGCTAACCTGACCATTTATTGCTGTCCTTCCTACTCTGTCAGATCACCATTCTGTGCGAGCAACCTTTCTTCAGGGTGAATGTCAACAATCGTCATGTTTTTGATTTCAACCATCGTTACCAACCGATCCAGCAGATCGACGAACTGCAAATTGAAGGGGACGTGACTCTCTCCAGTGTTCGTATTTAAAGCTCGGCCTCCAAAACCAGCTGAACATCCAGTGTCTGTCAGATCCCACTTGTGTTTGCAGTGGGGGGTGATGGAGGAAGGGAGGGTAGGAGTTGGTTATATAATTCCAGTGAGACTCTGAACTGTCCTACCTTCTGCAGTGTTTCACAGTATAGGATCATTTAATTGAGAAAGCTTAGCAAGATTTGCATATTGATTGATGTATGTGCTAAAAGCTTATGTTTGAATCACTTTTTCCTATCACATTTATTATTAACTCCTTTCTCTAAAACTAAAAATTATGTAAAGTAACTACCATTTTATAAAACCTGCCTTTTCTTGTCCTTAGTTAAATTCTTTCAAATGAGAAAAGGTAAACCATATTTTTCAATAATTGGTGAGGTTTGATATTTTCAAGATTTTGTTTTTGTTAGTTACATGAACAAATCATTCCTCATGGAGATGAATTATTCCTAAATTCATCCTTTGCTGAGTGAGAACTGATCCACACTCTTGGATTCAGTGTTGCAAGTCTAATTACCCACTCTCCTTCCAGCCTTGCCTTTGGTTACATCTCCCTGAGATTGTCACACTATCTGTCTTTTGCATGTCACCATTTTATTTGTAACATTCTAGTATGTTTCAAATCCTCGATGATTCCTTGTTCTTACTCCCAGTGACTGGTGCAGACTTTGAGATGAGACTAATCTGATATACCACTGAATTCTGTTACAGTAATAAATCTTACAAGAAAAGCCAAATACTGATGGTGATTTATTGTATTTGTGTATTTGAACCAATTATCTTTTTATATGCAGTAGTTACATCTCTCTACAAGCCACCCACAGCACCAGACTTCACCAATATCATGTATATTAATGCGATGAGCAAATAGAATTTTTTTCCAGTTCAAATGTACAATCATAAGGAAGAACATTTAGAACTAATAGGCTTCTCTACCTATTGTCTTGCTTTCAGTCCTACACACTGGCGTTCTCACCATTAATCTAAATGGTCCTGTTACCCCAAACTTGTCTCCTTACCGTGTACATCAGTGACCATTATTGCAACTTTGATCAGTAAAGTTTCCATAGACCTAAAAGGCCCCTCTCTCATTAGAGAGATGACCAGTGTTGAGTTTAACCTGAGGGTCACCACACCTCGGGCAAGGTTGAGAAGGTAGGACGTTCATGGTAAACTTGTCTGGAGTGGGAATCGAACCTGCGCTGTTGGCATCTCACACCAGCCATCTAGCCAACTGAGCTAACTGACTCTAATACCCATTCTCTAACAAGAATGCAGATTTCTTTGTAAAGCTGGTGCTCAAATTTGTATTAAGAGCCCTTCTTGACAGCAGGCAACTCCCTGATATTTTGTTCTTTAAGCTGACCTGCTGTAGTTTGAACTCTGTATCTCTGGTGACCCTGTTGGCCTATCTCCTTGCAACCTCTGTTTTGGAGCCTGTATCTCTCTAATTCATGGACCTGGACCGACAGATACCACCCCCCTTTTACAGCTCTCCTTTCCCCCGCCTAGTGCTTGTCCTGTGATGCCCTTTGCAGGTGTGACCTCTCTGAAGTGGCATCTAAGTGGGTTATAAGTGGCAGCAATAAGAAGCGTTTTCCAAGAAAAAGAATGAGGAAAGCATCATTCTAGGAGATGAAATTGAAAAGACCAATGGAGTTAATAATAATTTTAAAATAAAGGCATATTTATTGCTTTACTACATTTTTTGAAGCTTTGCTCATCTGATGCATTCTTTGATAATTATTTTGGAGAGAAATGGAACTGGTAAGATCCAATTATCAGCAATGAGAAAAGGGGTGGTGGTAAGAAAATAAAAAGACCTGTCGCTTCTCACGAACACCAGATGTCTTAAACAAAAACAGAAATTGCTGGAGAAATTCAGCGGGTCTGGCAGTATCCGTGGAGAGAGAAACAGAGCTTATGTTTTAGGTTCAGTGACCCTTCTTCAGAATGGGTCCCAAAATGTTAACTCTGTTTTCTCTCCACAGGTGCTGCTGAGTTTTTTTTTCAGCAATTTCTGTTTTTGTTCCTGATTTCCAGCATCCACAGTTCTAGAATCATAGAGCTCTACAGCATGGAAACAGACACTTCTGTCTAACTTGTCCAGGCCGACCAGATATCCCAAATGACTCTAGTCCCATTTGCCAGCATTTGGCCCATATCCCTCTAAATCTTTCCTATTCATGTACACATCCAGATGCCTTTCCAATGTTGTAATTGTACCAGCCTCCACCACTTCCTCTGGCAAGTTGCCCCTTCAGTCCCTTTATATCTTTCCCTCTTGCCTTAAAACCTACACCCTCCAGATTTGGTCTCTTCTACCCTGGGAAAAAGATCTTGGCTATTCCCTACCCATCATGACCTTTATAAGGTTACCCCTCCGCATCAAAAGCTCTAGGGAAAATAGCCCCAGCCAATTCAACTTCTCCCTTTAGCTCAAACCCACCAACCTAGGCAACATCCTTGTAAATCTTTTCTGAACCTTTTCAAGTTTAACAACACCTTTCCCATGGCAGGGAGATGAGACTTGAATACAATATTCCAAAAGTGACCTAACCAATGTCCTGTACAGCTGCACCATGACATCCCAACTCCTATACTCAATGCATTGACCAAAAAAAGACCCATGTATCCAATGCCTTCTTCATTACACTGTCTACGTGCGACTCCACCTTCAAGGAACTATGAACCTGCACCCCAAGGTCTCTTTGCTCACCAACACTCCCCAGGGCCTCACCATTCATGTAACAAGTCCTGTCCTGGTTTGCCTTACCAAAATGCAACAACTAGCATTTATCTAAACTCCATCTGCCACTCATCGACCCATCTGATCAAGCTTCCATTGTACTCCGAGATAACCTTCTTCAGTGTCCACTGCACCACCAATTTTGGAGTCGTCTGCAAACTTATTAACTATTCCTCCTATGTTGACATCCAAATAATTTATATAAATGACAAAAAGCAGTGGACCAGCACTCATCGCTATGGGGCACTGCTGGTCACAGGCCTCCAGTCCAATAAACAACCTTCCACTATTAGCCTCTGTCTCTTACCTTCCAGCTGATTTTCTATCTAATTGGCAAGCTCACCCTGGATTCCATGTGGTCTGACCTTGATAGCCAGTTTACTATGCGGAACCTTGTTGAATGCCTTGCTGATGTCCATATGGACAATGTCCCCTGCTCTGCCTTCATTAATCTTCTTTGCCACTTCAAAAAACTCCATTAAATTAGTCAGATGATTTCCTACGCACAAAGCTATGTTGACGACCCCTAACCAGTCCTTGCCTTTCTAAATACACATATATCCTGGCCCTTTGAGTCCCCTCCACAACTTACCCACTGCTGTCATCAATCTTTCGGGTTTTTTGTTACTGGATGACTCCACAGCTAATTAACTATTGACGTCTAGTCAGCAGTTATACTGCAATGCCAATTTGCAATGGTGAGTTCCTCCAAACAGGTCATGAGATAGTCTCTGTGTCTCCCTGAATCAACATCACACATTGGCCAGGATCTGGAATCTCAGACAGAATCTGTGATTGGAGGGGCTGGTCTGCCAAGTGTGGGATGTGGGTACCTGTGATTGGAGGAGCAGCTCTATCTCTCCTGTGCTCACTGCTCCTTCAGTTGCAGGAGAATGACAGCTTGTCCTCACTGGCTACCAGGTTGCAACTCTGCAGTCAGTTCCCATTATCTTTAACTGTCAATTGATACTCTTGTATTTTAAGAAAAAGCTAATGGGAGCTGTGAGCAGCAAAGCCCCTTTGGACAGCTTTGTAGTTCACTGGACAGCTTTGGGAAAACCAGATGCTTCCAGTTTTTGCCATTTAAAAAGTTGCTACCTTTGTTTGCTGCTCCCTCACCAGCCTGTGCCTGCCTCATGGCTCCACTGGCCCTGCTTGGAGTTTGGGGTTAACAGTTCCCTTGGGTCTAAAGTGGAATGACATCGCAAACTAAAGATCTAGCTTGATTGCTGATGTGGCCGAAATAAAGTCCAAGTGTTGTTATAGACAGTGCTGTATTGAAGGTGGATGTTAAGGTGCATGTGAGACAGCACCTTATTCTTCTTCTAATCCATGTTGTACCCATGCAATATTTGATAGTGACATGGGGGATAGAGTGTACAAAACACATTGATGGGGCTCAAAATTCTGATGGATGAGTTGCTGTCGTATCAGGACATTGTAGCAATTAGTACTAATGCAGTGCTTTTCATCACCTCCAAACATACCAAAACACACTTAAAATAGGTTGCTGTTGTACTGTAGGTAATTTGATGGCCCATTTTACACAGCAAGATCCCCAAAAAACCAGCTGTGAAATACTGAGTAAATAATCTGTCGTGGTGATTTTGTTTGGGACATGAGTATCGAACAGGATACTGAGGAGAATTATTCTGTGCTTCTTTGTGGGATCTTTTACATCCATCTGGTGAGGTTAAAAGTCTACTCTGAAAAATGGCACCTCCAACATTTCAGCACTCCTTCAGTCCTGCATGGAGGGGTGTCAACTTGATGTTCAAGTCTCTGGGTGGGAGTTGAACACACAAGTCTCTGACATAGACAGAGTACAACTCTGATTATCTTGACTTGATGGTGTGAACTTGTTTCCTTATGACCAAAATATCAGGAGGGGTTCCCCTTGTCCTTTCTTTCTCTCTAAAGAAAATGCCTGTTCCTTAAATCTGTTGACATAATGTTTGTAGATGCAGGTGAGTAACAATGATTCAACAAACTGTTGACAGAAACACAAATCAAAACAGTAACAATTCATATAACTTTATTAAAACTCATAATTTATCAAATGATAGTTATACAGATAGCAGCCAGCTGCCATTCTCACCCTCTAAATCTTTACCAGTCTCAATCTGTCAGTCGATACTGGATATTGCACTCAACCACACTGTGTTCTTATATTAAAGTGCATGGTAAAACTTGATTTCACCAGCCATTTCTTGCGACCTTCTGACTGTTGTAAACAAGTATCAGACTAACCCGCCTTCCACTGGCTTAGTTATATTTTTGGGCCTAAATTGTAGGCTTTACATCAGCGCTGCCCAAAATTTACATTCAGCAATGCTGTGATATTATTTAAGGCACGGATATCAGAATATCAGTAAGAAGTGTAGTATCTGTTTCTGTAGCAAATATATTTGGGGGGTGCAAGGTGCTGTCATGTAATGCCATTTTCGAAAAGTGTCAAGGACCAGGAAATAATGTATTTCTGGCTTGATTAATATTGACACTGAAATGGCAGACATTGATTGACACTCTCCAATGATATGCTTCCCTGCCCAAACCAGTTTCTGACATAATTAAGTCCTTAATCTTCTGTTGGAACACAGACTTCCTGAATTATCCAAAAATTAACAACTGCCCACTTAAAAAGAAAAAAAAACTATCTCTCAAAACTTCACTAAAATGTAAAGTAAAAGTGCTGTTTTTGTAAAGTCTTTGAATTTCCACGTGTTTATAAAAGCGAATATGAGATTGAATGCTATAAGTTGCAATAAAAATTTGATTCATTTTGGTCCACACGTCAGTCAGCAGATACATGGTGATACAAGAGTCAAGACTTGCTAATGCAAAATTTTCCTTTATCATTCATATGAGTTGGCACAAGTGTCTCTTTGGTGCTTTTTGATTCCATAATGGGGATGAACTGTTATTTCTGAAACGTTGCCCCAAAGATGTCTTCGTGATATCGCTTCTGGTTCTGTTAAATAAAGGAGAAATTGAGGTTAATACAAAACAATGACAATGTAGAACAATTATGTGTAATATTATTGTAGAGAACATCAGCTTGCATCACACCCTATCCTGTAAGAGTCCCTTTACAACCATCTGCATCCCAAATTCTTACTTCTTGTGCACCCATGTAATCTCAGAGTTGTAATGTCATTGAGATATGCAGCATGGAAACAAACCCTTCGGTCCAACTTGTCTGTGTCGACCAGAGATCCTAAATAAATCTGGTCATTTGCTAGATCTTGCCAGCATTTGGCCCCTATCCCTCTAAACCCATGAACCCAGCTAGATGCCTTTTAAATGCTGTAATTGCACCAGCCTCCACCATTTCCTCCGGCAGCTCATTCCATACACACACCCTCTGCGAGCAAAAATTGCCCCTTAGGTCCTTTTTATATCTTTCCCCTCTTACCTTAAACCTATGCCCTCTAGTTTTGGACTCCCTCACCCTGGGGAAAAGACCTTGCCTATTTACCCTATCCATGCCCCTCATGATTTTATAAACCTCTATAAGGTCACCCCTCAGCCTCCAATGCTCCAGGAAAATAGCTCCAGCCTATTCGGCCTCTGCCTATAGCTCAAACTCTCCAACCCTGGCAACATCCTCATAAATCTTTTCTGAACCCTTTCAAGTTTCACAACATCCTTCCTATATTCCACAAGTGGCCAAACTAGTGTCCTGTACAGCTGAAACATGACCTCCCAACTCCTATACTCAATGCACTGACCAATAAAGGCAAGTGTACCAAACATCATCTTCACTATCTTATCTACCTGTGACTCCAATTTCAGGGAACTATAAGCTGTTGTATGTATAATGAAGTCCATGCAAATGACTTATTGTCATAATTTTTTCCAGCTTATATTTCTTGGGGCTATCCAAACTTTCTTGCTCATTGGTCCCTAAGCTTCCTGGACCTTGGTAACTGGAGCATGAGCTACAGAGAAAGGCATGTTTGTTCTTTTCGGACAAAGGCAACCTTTTATGTGCATTTTGCAATTGCTCAGTTTGCAGTTTCGGATAGTAATGTTAGTTTTGTTCATGTCAGACAGAAGGGTAACCGAAAACAAAAGGTTTTTTGGCATTTCACTACTTGTAATGGGATCGAATATGAGAAGGAATGCATTTGAGAATGCACATTTTAAGGAGAGATTATCTACCTTCAGCTTTGTGAGGAACTCCTCAGCATCCTCAATACTCATGCCACCCTGCTTAGCAATGATGCCTTTCAGAGTTTCAGTGACATCTTGTGCCATTTTGATTTCACCGCAGATGTAGATGTGCCCATTTCCTTCATACAGTATGTTGTAGACTTCAGAGGCCAGCTGCTCCCGAAGAATATCTTGGACGTATGTCTGGTGGAACGGAAGCAGACATGGGAATATAAGAATACATCGGTGTGGCAATACGTTGCAGTGAGACTAAGACCTTCCAAGACATTAAGATGTAGGATCAGAAGTAGGCCATTCTGGACCACTGAGTCTACATTGCCATTCAAAGGCTGATCACCTTATATTCATAAGTAACCTCACTCAGCCTCAGAACATAAGAAATAGAAGCAGGAGTGGTTCTCAGGTCTACCCTGCCATTCAGTGAGATCATGATTGATCTTCTACCTCAACTCCACGTCCTTTTCCTATCCCCCGATTTACTGAGTGATCAAAAATCTGTCGATCACTATCTTAAAGATACTTAGCGACGGATCATTTATAACCCTTTGGGGGTAGAGAATTTCAAAGATACCATGACACCCTTTGCAGCCAACGAATGACATTTGCTGTACTGTCGTCGTTTTGCAGGCAAGTGAGTCAGCCAACATGTTCACAGCATAGCTATGAGCTGAATGACCAATGAATCTCTTTGCACTATTTCTGGTTGAATGATATGCATCACTCAGAAAAATGGGAGTATTCTCCTGCTTTTCTTTGCAATGTTGGTGTTAAAATATTTTGCAACTAAAAAAATTACTTTTTTCTCCATGCACAATGCCGATGGTCATTCCTGACAATAGAAACCGTCTGTGTATCTTAGCCAAGCTGGATAACTAATTGGGTCCCACTCCAGCCAGTCAGTGTATCTTAGTATCACACTGGGGCACAGAACCACTAGGGAGCCCACAACTGGTTTAAAAACATAATAAAACGCATTAATGCTATCGACTAGAAAGTGGTTTAAGTTACCTTTTGTTTTCCTGGCTGTCTGGAGTAAGCTGTGTAAACACCCTTCAAGATGCCTTTATCTTTAAGTGCAAGGGTTTCTTCTTTGTAAATATGATCCAACTCTGGGTTCCGACAGCCAAACACCAAAGTCATGGGACCGGCTTTGATTCCTAAATGCCGCAAAAACAAACAAATGTTGAGTTTCAGTGCAAAAGCAGCCTCAGCTCATGCCCACCCAATGATGACATTTGAGAAGAGGAGGCATAGTGTAGTTTAAACATCTAATGAATCACTGAGGCAAGCAAGGATTGGCCATGGTCATTGTTACTGCTGGAATGATGTGAATAGCTCAGCCTGAAGTTGTACAGTGTGGTCTTTGAGTATTAATTCTTTAATGCCTAGGCGATGGAGATGGTCTATTAGAATATAGAGAGTAATAGACAGCTAACTAAACAGTCAGCTGAAATCTGGGAACTGGAACATATTTGAAATATCCCTTGCCAATGCTGCCTCTCTCTCTCGTTTCTTCATTCTTTTTCATAGCTATCTTCTTCAACTAGTTATGCAATTCTTCCTTTTCTAAAGATGGGTCTAAGAAGCATCATCATCATCATCTGCTGATCAGAAGTTGTACATGACCTGTCCAAGTGAGACAGCAATTAGCCAGCTTGAACCTTGCTCTTCCTGCCTGAGTGCAGTTGGTAAATGTGACTGAGCAGTGAGCTCAGACATCAGACTATGTGTCAACTGATGCAGCCCAGGATGTAGGAATCTGAGGGAAGGACATCAGGAGTTTGAACATACCTCGTTTCTCGGAGTCGTGCTCTCTCTGTTGCCAGAAGCTTCGGTATGGAGCGATTCCTGTTCCTGGGCCAACCAGAATGCAGGGCTTTGATTGATTCTTTGGCAGGTGGAATCCCGCAGTGCTGAAATTGTGACATGACATTGATATTAATTTTGAGTCATTTTGGTGCAGACATGGCTATAACAGATGGAGAGCTTGCAAGGTATAATTTCAAAGGGTGGTACCAAACTGACCTACCTGCGCACATAACATGGAACCAGTTCACCCGTTTCCATTGTGTTCAACCAGGTGCTGCAGACACCGTGATGCATAGGACCTTCGCCATCTAAATATAAAGAAAACCATTAGTTCCTATTTTCACATTTCAGTAATGTATCCATAACCCATTCAGAGTAAGTCCAGCACAATAACCCAGTCAGAACATTGATACAGCATTACATATCTTTTAAACCTATATTGTTTCTGTTGATGACCAATGCACAGGTTTGATCTTATGCTTAAACTAAGTTAACTCTGAATTGCCTGACTCGCAGTGCTATTTATCCTCAGGGAGGTGGAAACAGCTCTATAAAGTACTATACCATTGAAACAAATTTGTTCCCCACCCTGCCAAGATCTCCTTGTTGGAAATTTGACTCTAAGGTTTGATCAATAGATACTTCCTTGCTTAATGGTATATTCTAACATCTTGGCTGGCCCAGTCCCTTTTAAAGCAAACAAATTGTCCAGTTGAAATCTGATTGTGTTACCTCTCGTCCTGTAGTTGACAACAGCGACTGTCAGATGGACTTCTCCCGGGTTCATATCTAAGGATGAACTGATGGAGTAATATCTGGGCTTGAGCAGTATTAGTTGTGTGAGGAGGAACAAGGCAGGACATTGGATGGACTGAAATTCCTCCAGGACTTCTAGGATGTTGGGGCTGTTGAAAGATTTCCATTTCTCATACTCCTGGGCATTCTGCAGAGTGGTAACAAAATGGAATTCAATATTAGGCATTGTCTGATACACAACATTTGCCTGCACATAATGAATCTCTAATTGCCACCCTCTCAAAAAGTTTAGACGCTTCAAGAATATGCCCCATCATCAAAATATGTCCCAGGAAATTTCATATCATTAGACCCTCCTTTGTCAATGTATAATCCATTCATCCACCTATCTCTGCCTTCTTCATCATTTTGACTCTTTCCAGATATAATTCTAATTTTACTGGTTTCAAATCCCACTGTATTAAGGTGCGAAACCAAATTCAACAAATTTGTGTACTGGAGCCAGAAATACTTGTGGTTAATTTTAACCAAATTTGCCAGGCAGAAATCTAATAGGATTGTGTGGAATGCTGCTTTTCAATCCCACCTTCACACTTCATCCAAAATCTCCTTTCAGTGGAAAATTAAATCAGTTGGTCTATAACATTGACAAGGCATCAAATCCTGTCAGATTCTGGATGGGTGGATTATATTAGAATTGCCACCAGGTGGGACAAATGCTCCAGGATTGTCATAAAAACCCCACCAAGGTTCACTAATGTCCTTCAGAGAGTGTCAGTCACTGCACCAACCTGGTCTACCCAGATGTGGCACATACTTGGCAATTTTTCCTACTGCTGAGCGTGAACTCTTGCTGTGCTCAAATATGCCATTGTACTTTCTGCTATTATGGCAGCTCTAATTTAGAGTGGGATGTAAAACAGCACAGTGGGTCTACAGTCTGGTCACCTGTGTCTGAACGCTACCCACCAGGCTGGTAACAATAGGCCCATGCTCACCTGACTCAGTTCCAGCAGTCGATTCTTCTCTGATTCATCTGTTGCTAACTGGGCGAACTTCTTCAGGAGCTGAGGGCCAGGTGGGGTGGTAATGTCCAGAAAGTGGGTAAAAGCCTGTGAGAGACTGCAAGCCGGTAGTCTCTCGTCTACCTTCCAGTCTGTGGGAAAGCAGAGAACATCCTGTCAGTTAAGACCCAAGACAGGAACAGATCCGAAATGTTCTTATTCAGTTTCAGGACTACAGGGAGAATTTCAAAAACTGAAGGAGCAAAGGATCAAAACTTCCATGTGACAATGTGAATGGGTCACTGGAAGGTGTCAGCACTTTTGGCAGGAATAGAATTGGAGATTTGAATAATTTGTTTGAAAAGAGTCCTGATTTAACCTGCATTGTGACCAAAGGTGAAGATTGCACTGGTTCTGGCCTGCAGGAGAGGCACAGATATGTCAAATGGGGTCTTTCCATTGTATCAGATTAATGCTCTGAAGAGAACTAGCAAGAAAATTCAAATACTTCAAAAGCACGACTTACCCTTGATACTATTTCCATTGTTAACCTCCACTTGGATACACTGGTGAGAGCTTGGTGTCCCTTTGAGCCTTTCGATCAATGCATTGACAAGAGCTTTTTGATTCTGAGGGAAAACTCCAACGTGTTCCCCAGGCAGATACTGGAGCTCCTTGGTGTCTGTGCAGGATAGCTCGACCAGAATGGTGGACCGGCTATAACCAGAGAGATTCAGATTAAATTTGTGATAGTGAAGAGTTTGAAGAGAGTTGCAAATAAAGACTTAGCTCTTAATTTAGAAGAAAAACAAGTTTTAAAATGCCAGCAGACCTGGATTTTGAGCTCTGCAGATTTTTCATCAGTTTGAATTTCATGGGCAGAATTTTCTTTCCTTGCATTTTGGAGAGAGCTAAGATAAGAAAAACATCAATTATTATTAGTCTGTCTACAGAATGGTAACTTTCAAGTTTAAAAATAAAAGTCCTAAGCAATGAGAAGTTGGCTGGGCGACCATTCCAACTCAGAGTGTGTAAGTGAATGGTTACCTGCACATAGGTCCAGGGGCCTTGTCTCTGTTGCGAATCTGTATCGGCTGGGATCCCAGACATCACTTTTGGTTGTTGATTTGAATTGACCCAGTTCCACCTTCCCACGCACATGGAAGGCTTTACAGGCCATCTGTTTTAACAAAGCATAAGAGAACAAAACCATTTTTAAAATGCTATACAAATTGTAATACTTTTGACCGGTATTCTACGAGATTTCTACACATGTCTGATGGATATCGGAGTATTTGTAGCAAGGTACAAAGTGTCATAAAGTGGTCGAATGTAAGTTTGCTGTAAAATCACATTTTCTGACTAATGGTGATACTGAACAAGAAATTTCCTCAGAATGGGGATAGTCAACAGGATATGGTGCAGCCTTGATGTGATTGAATTTGAAATTCAGAGAATGAGACTACAAATCCTGCAAGGGGAGCTGGACAATTTATACTCAGTTTCCAGAAATCAGTAAACTTGGCTGCAAAACTGTCAGGTTGTCTTAAAAACCCCAAATGTTCTTCTAATGTCCTTTATGATAGGAAACCTGTTGATGTCACCTAGACTGGCTTATTTGTGGTTCCAATGTGATTGACTCTTAACCACTCCCTGAAGTGGCCAAGCAAGTCAGGGTGGCCCATTACCTTCTAAGGGCAACTGCAAATGAACAATAAATGCCAACCCTTGCTGGTGATATTGACATTGCAAAGATTGGATAGAATAAAAAACATTTACAGTCACCCCAGGCCATTCTTGACCTTGAAGGTATGTGCTTCGGTCCTCCTTATGTTCAGCTATTGGCAGTACATGGGAGATTTTTAAAAGGGACGGGGGCATGTAACAAGGCTGTGAGAGAGCCATCATCTCAGAGTGTTCAGTAAAAGTGGCTTGCAAGTTTCTTAAAATGTATTAAAATGATTTTCAAAGATTCTCTCCTTTCTCAGGTAAGCTGTATCAGTCACCCCTTCCCACTCTCTCTGCATCAATGCAGAGAAGCAGGGAAACATGGTACTTCTCCTACTTGGCGTTAGTCCACCACTACATCAGCTGAAGACGTAGAAAGCTCTCTCGGAAACAAGTAGTCCCTGTGCCAAGCACAGCGCAGCCTACCTTGAAAGTGGTGATAGCCCAGTCGACAAAGGATTCCTCCTGGCCTCCAAGTTCATCGCCTTCTCCTGTAGGGGACAACTGAGTTGCCCCAAGTTGTGCCAGCTTGTTATCGAGGGTGTGGGCGAATGCACAGAACTGTGGGTACATGCGGGAGCCAAGTCCAAAGATGGCATAGCTGCAAAGAAGATGCATAAAATGCCAAATTAACTTTTAGTTCAGATGAACCAGGCCCTTTCTCAATGATAGTAGGAACTGCAGACGCTGGAGAATCTG